GACTTTTTAATAGAAGCCAGCTTATGCAGGTACGTTGGCTATCACTACCCCAACAGATAGGATGGCATGGCATAAGTTGTTTTACATAAAGAAAGATCTGAATTTTAGCACCTGGTTATGAGGAGAGGTGCTCTTTATTACACATGGCCCTTCTTGTCCGCCATACACAGAATGGATGGCAACTTGTATGTCATCAATGAAGACATTCTCTGTCCCTCTATCCGTCTGGATACAGCGCGGAGCTCCTATGATGTTCAACGAGTACAGGAATGGAAAAGTGTCAAATGGAAGCATGTCAATACAATAACAACTTTTATGATAATCAATGCGATGTTCTGTCTAAGGGTTACAACTCTCTTTTTTGCTTCACGTAGTTCTGTAGAGAGAAAAATCAAAGAGTGATAGCACATACATGCCTATACGTCCAAAAGTCGAAAAGCTTCAGATATAAACAATAAAGGAGGACCATCGTTTGTAAACATTTTTGTGTCCATGAGTTCTTTCACTTCGACAGGAAATGGCTATCGAAAAGGTAACAAAGAAGCAAAGTAATTGTTCTCAGGAGGAAACAGTTTGAAAGTAAACACGAAATGGATATTTCCCGATTCAATAGTCTACTGCGCGTAGCGTATGTAGTTGTGACACGTCTTTATATTGAGCTGTGTTCGCTGAATCGACATGCAGAGGTGTGATTCATTGCAGCATTGAAATGGATAGAGTTCCACCAACGAAGGGCATACATAATATCGTGGAAAATCTCATGGACCTACCCATCTCTCGCACCGTGCAGAAAGCCATATCTTTTCAGTTTATCATTTTGGTCGATGTGCACTGCGTTTGGTCCGGGGTTCCGATATAATTGTCGTCTCAAACGGTGAACTTCCTTCTTTCTACTCGCTCTGGATCTAAAAGGCGCTGCCCCTCGAGAACCATATCCCTGATACGTATTTGTACAAAACAATCACGGGTGCGAATTGCCACAGAAAATTTCAGTGGAAAGCAGCTAGTAAAACACTAAAATGTAGGCAGTCCTCAAGCGTTTTTACACAGCTAGCAGGTACCAAAAATATAATCGAGGGTCTACATCTAAAAGAAATGCAATAAGTGAAGAGAATGAACTTTCACAACTCTGAATTACACACGGAAAAGTCGATGAATATTTTGTTTTCTTGTCACGCACGTCTGCACAAATATATTCGAGAATATTCAGTGATTTTCAGATTGAATCAAGACCGACTGGTCACTAAGATTATGTGGATGGATCCGCAATTTAAAAAAAAATGCATATTACCGTCCATCAAGCAATTTTCAAACCGACATAACACCTTGGAAGAATAAGTCCCTATCGCGATAGCAATCTCTGTCGCATTCCTCGGCATCCCAAGTTGTGGCCACTGGCTCGTAGCTCTGTCTGGAATTGAAGGATAACCAATTAACGAGAGGAGTGGTGACAAATAAAGACCACAAAACTGAACATTGTGAAGTAATAATCAAATGTAAATCTAAAGAACCACTTGCCTCCAAACTTGAAAGAAGTCTTGCTATTGATAGGTTGTCGGGTCTGTTTCTCTGCAAATTCAGTCGACGAAGAATCCGATGCAATGTTTGCATGATGTATAACAGTTCAAGTACACGGAAAGGGGCAAAGGTTACGTATTGCTTTGGAACAATTGATACAGTTGTGATGCACTGGATTATTTAAAGGGCATTCCCTTGCTTTATTTTGTGAAATGGAAACTAATCATTGTAGCTGATTTCCCTTTATTGGCATTTGATTGCGTAAACTAATATATTCGTTCTGTTTAAAAACCAGAGGCTTGACCACGCCGGTTGTCTGGCGCAAACATACTCACCGTATCTGAAAGTGCAACTGAAAAAACAAATAACAAATAAACAAACAACCCAACAAACAAGTCAATGCCGGTTGTCTGTGTGTCCACAGGCCTGTGGTCGTCATAGTTCGTTTTGCACTGCAGTTATATTTCGATTTTGAATGTGGTATCGATTTCATGACTTGCAAATGAATAAATTATCGAGTGCCGAGTCCATGTCCAACTGAAGTTTGTTTATCGAGCGAGATCCGCGGGGCGAGATCCGCGGGGCGCGTGGCAGATATAGAACACCATAATTATTAATGAAAATCTCAGCTTTCCGCTTCGGTCCAAAGGTTCGCGATAATTACGACACGAAAATAGCTACAACTCTCGCAGTTGGAATGACGTTACTGCGATCTTTAACACGTGGCAAAGGGGCATATTTACTCTTCGTGTTGTTCAATAATGTACAAAAGTTCCTGGATGTCCGACCGCGAGAATAAAGTTATAATAATTTGATTTTCGAAAGACATGACTTTATTTCTTTCATTTCTTTATTTGGCTAGTATTTCGGTTATCAGGAATGTATTTAGATCTTTGTTCAACGCACATTTGAACAATGTATTCTACAGCTAAATAATGGTACGAGTTTACATTCCAACTTTTCCAAATGTAATAATTTTTCTCTATATCAGTCGGAGATGTACGCAGGTACCATCATCATCCAGCAAGCTCTCAACTGGAACCTCTATCTATCAGTCTGTCTATTACTGGCAATGACCGCTGCTTATACGATAGCCGGCGGTTTGACTGCTGTCATCTACACTGACGCTCTACAGTCATTTATCATGATAGGAGGGGCCACTGTTTTATCTGTTGTCGGTAGGTTTAGATATACGAAATACTTGATGGCCCTGCGACATTTTTCGGTATAGAGCCATGCACATTCAACTGACATACCGCCATCATGGTGGTGGCAATTGTTATGACGTCACATGGAACCCTTTGTCCAGGTCAACCATATTCTTTTTCAGCACGCATCTTTTTCATTCCAATATACCTTTTCACATCCACTCCCTTCTCTGACGGCATTGAAAATGTACATACAAACAACGGCTTACTTGTAGAATTAGGAATTTTAAATTCATTTGAAAATATTATCCACAAAATAGTGAATACTTTTTGAGAAGTCATCTAATTCCAAATATGTAACGAAGCACTCATTGCCGAAAACATTTTGACAGCTTTTATTGAAATAGGGGGTCTAGAGAACCTGTACCTAAGATTCATGACGAGCATACCTTCACCGACCTTCCTGGCTGGAAACACAACGTGCGGTATCCCGAGCGAGGAATCCTGGCATATCTTCCGTGATGCTACCACCTCGGACCTTCCCTGGCCTGGGGTGCTCTTCGGTATCTTCCTGCTATCGGCTTGGTACTTTTGTACCAACCAGGTTGGCTCTGTTTTGAATGTCATTCAATTTTAAAGGGTAACAGAAATTGAAAGCATTTATTTCACGTGAAGTATTTCAAAATAACAGTGAATACGTAACCATTTCAAAAACATCATAAGTTTAATGTTTTCCCTATTATTTGCGATCCCAAGTACAAAAACAAAGCCCAAAATGGAAAATAGCGCAATAATTGACGAGAGTGGGATTCGAACCCTCGCGTACATAGCAGAACGAATAGCAGTCCATTGCCTTAACCACTGGGCCACCTTGTCTCATTTACAAACCTTTACAAAGTACTTAAGTTAATTTGCCAAGGTATTTTTATTCATTTTTTGCCTTGGTTAATCACAAGGAATAAGCACTTTTCCCATGATCTTTCAGTTCTCATTATGAATTTTTGTGCATCAATGCCAGTGCTGTTGGAAAAAAGTAAAGCTAATAAAATGCTTTTAAACAGAATAAGGAAAAGGAATTCCAGTTTCCACAAAAGAAGGCCTAACGTTTGGGCTATGTCAGTAGCCTATACCTGTACGTTGGTATGTAAATCCTGAAAATGTTTTGATCAGGTTCTTGTTCAGAGATCGTTATCGGCAAAGAACGTGACTCATTCCAAGGCAGGGACCCTCCTAGCAGCTGTGTTGAAGCTTCTACCAATGGTTCTAATGATATACCCGGGCATGATCAGCAGGGCTCTCTGGCCAGGTTGGGGCATGATACAGTCTTCTGCCACTTCAAATTATTCTCTTATTGAAAGACGAAGATGCCACGATAATATGCATACTTAAAAAAGAACATTGCTAGGTTTTTAATTTTAAACTTGAGCTGCACTGAACGATTCATTCACAAACCATTGTTTGCAAAAATTATGTCGCGTTAGGTAAAACTTTTACAAAATTTGCTGTCAGGTTGGTCTTACTTTTCCGATAACTTTAGATTACGTGGCTTGTCAGGACTCTGAGACTTGTTTGAAGGTTTGCGAAAATCCCAACGGCTGTTCAGACATCGCCTACATCAGGCTGCTTCTAAAACTCATGCCTACAGGTCAGTCTACTGCGACTGTGATGGTGCCTATGGGCCACCTGCGTATGACTTCACGTTAGAGGGCATTTCTTTTTTCCTCTAGGATAGGCTCGAGTAAACCTTTTGTGCATTCATTGTAATTAAATTAAAATAACGAATAGCCTCTGACTCCGCCTTAACGCAAGGGGTGTGTTACTTTTACACTAAACAATTTAGCTACTTCTTTACATACATAGGCCTATACATAATTATGTATTTACAACATACATGTATATGTTTTAACTTAATGGCAAATCGAAAGAAATTTACTTATTCCGCATTTCGGTATTTCAGCAGTGGACTATGAAATACTGCGGTAAAGCACCAATTAAGGTCATATAATTGTCTGTATATATGAAAGGTCTAAAAGGATTGATGATGGCGGCCATGTTGGCAGCGCTCATGAGCTCGTTGACGTCGGTATTCAACAGTGCCAGCTCTATCGTTACGTTGGATTTGTGGATCAAAGTGCGCCCTCTGGCGTCGGAAACAGAGCTTGTGATCGTTGGCAGGTAACATCAAACACAGCAGATGATATAATTCATTGGATGCTATGAAAAACGATCAAAACCCAGGACTCTGTAATTTATCACATGTGTATCACACTGTTTGTACACTCACATGAAAATATTGGTGGTGTATGCTCCTGCCACATGGGTATGAACCATCTGAGTGCACTGGGGCGGTGTATCTCCTGCAATAGCATGCAGTTTGACAACCATTTAGGCAGAATGTCGGCATCCTTGCATCTAGGTTGTGCACCCTGATCCTAGCAGCTGTGAGCGTTCTGTGGTTGCCTTTGATCCAACTCTTCGGTTCCGGTCAGTTGTTTGTTTACATCCAGTCCATATCGTCCTACATGTCACCACCAATCTTTGCTGTCTACACTGCTGGGATGTTCTCTGAAAGAACGACTGAGCAGGTTGGTTTAGGTTGGCGGATAGTCGGCGGTCGTTGGTAGGCTAAAACTGTTTGTAGTAACACTAAGGAGCTGACATCAGCAATTAAACATGGCTCTGCGCAGAACCTTTCGACGTTTCAAGACGTGCGTTCTAGTTATCTCGAATAGGAACGGTCGGGATTAGTTTAATATTAATAAGAACTTTCACCTCTATGGACTTGAAAACGTGTTGACAACTGTTGTAACCGAACAGGGGTCTGATCACTGACATATCACGACTCAACCAAGTCTGGTCTCTGATACATGTAATGGGAAATTAGCAGTAAAAGTGTCTTTGTAGCAGGTCATATGGAGGGGTTATGACTTAGCTTTGGAATGGATGACTTTAATAGGCTCGACTATGATAGGCCTACTTTCACTGACAATCAAAAAGGTCATTTTTAAAATTCTTCTAGGGAGCCTTTTGGGGCCTACTGCTAGGTGAAGCTATCGGCTGCACTTGGATGGTTCTTGACTTTGTGTTCCTAGCACCCCCTTGTGGTGGAATCGATGAGCGTCCCCTGGCACTCCAGAAAATTCACTACTTGCACTTCGCTCTGCTGAACTACGCAGCTACAGTGTCGTTTATCGTCGTCCTTAGTCTGTTGACGAAACGAATCCCACAGGAAAAGGTGAGTTCGGCTGCCGGATGATGGAAATGCCATGGCGATGGTAGTTGGCTGGTTACGACAGACATGCAAAAATATGAATATGATAAGATGCATTTACGCATCACGTTGTGGGATGTGCCGGCTACACCGTTAAGACAAAAAAGTTAATGTCGTCATTTTTATCTGATACGTAGTCCAGTGCGTTCGCCATCACCAGTGGGCGTTTCTGTTGTTGAGTGGACTCACGACTGGCCAGCATTCGATGTTTCTGCTTACGTACGTTTGAGTGCGTGTGTTTTTGGTACTTGTAGAAGCAGTTTGCAAGGAGTTAGAACGGGTGACTGTTGACCTTGTTCACGCATTTCTATATCTGTTCACTTCTTTTTCTGTATATGTAAATAGCTGATCAGACTGACTTGGTGGACCAGAAAAAGCAAGCTCCCTCGGACACCTATGTCGAAGAAGGAAAGCAAGAAACATAAGGAACGAGGATGGAAGAAAAGAGAAATTGCTGAGGCAGAACAAAATGGTACAGAAACGAAATTTTCGAAGAAAACATATTTATGACACAGCGTCATCACCGTATTTCGTCGAATAACAATACATTGTAGAATTTAAATGAAGTTTTCTCCTATTTGGCTTTATACAAATCTTTTTAAGGCCCCTCTAAATATTACAGTTGTGTTGGATTTTGCAGAAAAGACGCTGTCTGGTCCTCGCCGCATTTGGAACTTTGTATGCGGAATTGAATCCTTCCGCGGAACCGAACTCACACCAGATGAGTTGAAGGAGATGGAGAGACGCATGACGTCATTAGTAGAGGACCCTCAGTGGGCTAAAGCAGTCAATGCTGCCTGCCTTATCGTCCTTTTCTTGGGGTTTTTGGCGTTTGGATTATTTGCCTGAAAACGGTCCGTTGGATGGTTTAGTAAAGAAAATTTGGAAGTTTCGGGGTTTGAAAAGACCCATTAGTCAAGTTAGATCATGAACAGCCCGTGGCCTGTTCAATACGTTTTCACGGAAAGTTTGAACCTCCAAATCTATAAGTTAGCGTCGTGGGTCGTAACGACGCCTAGTTATTGTCTGCTTTGCTTTGCTTGAGGTATCCAAATATAATCATGCGTCTGCGTGTTTTGGAATCCAAACTTCGCATATAATTCAACTGACTTTGATTTGTTTTTGTAGCCGGAGTTCACTTACTTTGAGGAAATATCCTGAAAAAGGTGCTTTGTGTAGTTTCCATCTTCAGGGACAACATTAATAGAAACATAGATTAATTATTGTGTGCATTTAATATTAAATAATCCCAAATAAATCCAGTGACAAGAATATTTCTACTGAATGGAGTTTGGGAAAGTGACAGGAATAAGCAAAATAGTAAAAGGTATCATTAAAATGGCTAACGTATATGAAGTATTATTTGCCAACTTTCATTTAAAATATTAAAACAAAATTCCACTAAAGAACACCAAGCACACGTGTAAGTTATAAAGTAAGAGCATGAATATTTACATCTCAATAAACAACATGCTCATCTAACTGGTTGTTCTTTGGGGGAAATTCATAAAATTTAAGTTATGCTTTGCTCAGCTTTACCGATTGCAACAGCAAAATCAAATATCCCCCACTGATCCTCTAAAATACACGTGTTAGTTACTACATGTACTACTTACGCTACTTTACGTCTATTCTTTCAGACAACTAGAGGTTCTATGACAACAAGGACAGGTTAAATTTATTCAAATGAATTGAATTAGGCCCTTGCTGTCGCTTTTGCTCTGTGTGTCACAAATAAATGTTGGTGTATACATGCATATAATTGGGCCTTCTTTTGCGGTAGTAGGGCTTAGTGGATGCAACACGTAACCTTGCAATGTTAGCCCTGATATCCACTTTAAATATGGTTTTCGTAACAGAAAGCCAGCATTTACACGTATACTGTACAGAGGCTACCAGCCGCAGGCCGGGGAACAGAGTTGACCGGCTGCTCTTTACGTAGCTACATAATTTGATTCCAAGCATGATTTCGTTTGAATTACACAACGCGTCGAATTTTCATGCTGCATTATTTTCTTCAACTTATCTGCCTGGTGACTCCGATTGATGCCATCAACAGCTCGAAAGACCTGTCGGTAGCACCGACCATTACATTGAGATTGGATTGGAGGCATCCGCCATACCACCACGCTCCACGATTGTTCATGGCATAATTTTCGTCGAGATTGTCCTTGTCTTTGCCCTTCGTCGAGAACAACATGCCATAGTGCATCCGAGTCAGTGCGTCTCCTGCAGGCCTACTTTAATTAAAGTATCCAGGAAATGAATTTTTCTTAGAATCACTTTTTGTGTATCTCTGTACTCTTCTTCGATGTATGAAGACTGTTTGACATCTTTTTTGAGTTACGTGAACTGAACGGTGCACTTTTTCAAACATTACAAATTGACCAAGCATTTCTGGACAAGTGAGGGCGCTTTTGCTTTGATGTAAATCCAGGAAGACATGGTTCAGGTTGCGTGTTTTCATGTTCAAATTGTGAACCCCAAATTTGCTATCTGGGAACATTTCTGTGAAAAAGATTTTGCTGCATTATTGCCATACTTACACAGCAATAATTTGCCAAAGAAAATGAAATCTGCCATAGCAGTTGTTTAAAAATCTAGACATTTTCTGTGCACAAATCAGTCCAACATTGAGATTCAGGGCCTTGGATGACATCATAGTTCTGCTCATGAATATGCATTAGCATAAAACCAAAAAGCATCAAAATATGGGTTATTATTGCAAAACAGATCTTTAAAATGAATTTAATTGAAACCCAAAGATGCAATTTCAAGGGTTTTTAGTAAAATTTATAAAAATATTTCTATTTCCTGGTTCCTTTAAGCTGATAGCTACCACCAGTAACTTGAAATTCTCCATATTCTGCGTACAAGGACTTCTTGTCCCAGCTGGCCAGGCCTCCAAATCGACACGTAGGCCTAGTTGCCATATCTCCTGATGAGAGTCGATCTGGTGACGCAGGACGTCATTTCCAGCCCGAAACTCACCAGACAAATCGCCAAATCCTACCCGGTATTCGGTCCAGTTGCGGTAAAAGTTAACACTGCTATCTTGACGCCTCTGGATGACGATCCCAGCCTTCCCCGTTTGCCTCCATATCGAAGTAAACCTTGAGGTCACGGTTGAACCCAGCGGGATGAGGAAAGCTTATTGTTTAATTAAACACCACTGGCATTTTGGCCTGCCTTCAGTAACTCCTTGCAACTGTTGTGATGGTATGAACACAAAACGATGTAAATTAAGGGATTACAATTGTCAATCAATTTTTTTTAAATTTTTTTGATCGGAAACATGACGTTACATTTTCCCGGAATCAATTTGTAAATTAAAACCACCGCAATGGTGAGAACGAGTGTAATAGCTTCATTATTAACTGAGAATCATATTAGAAAATCAATTTTGAGATAAATTTTGCTATGTAGGGTGAACCCCCCCCCCAAAAAAGGACCCCAGAAGTAACATTTATTTTCAGATTGTTAGAAATTGTTTATGGTTTCAAATTAAAGCTTAGGATGTTTCCTTTCAACACTGAAGATTTCACATTTGATGAAGTCTTCAATTTGAGGATGATGCGTTGCGGAGATGTTTTCAATGAAGTAACATAACTCAAGACAAGTTTTTTATTGTCAATTGAAAGTTTAAACAGTTTATCCTGCAGGTGCGTGCAGTCACTGAATTAATTTCAAATCCTAAATTATCACACAAACTATTTGGGATACGTGTAGTACTTCTTCCGAATTCTTTCTAGCTCTGTGAACCTCACGGTGCGTATTTCAGAAGGCAATAATTATGCAGTTTCAGAGGTTAAGTTTGTTTCAGAGAGCAGTTTCAGCTGAACTTTTGCAATTTACCTCCAATTTGTAACAAGGTGCTTTGCTTATCTTACTAATATGTAAAACACCAGTTTGACCCATTTCAGGACGCTGCTTGTTTGTTGGTGGGAAATAAAAGGGGTTTTTAACATAACTTAACCTTGTTCAGTAGCCCAATTTTTGCAGGCTTTTCCAATGACCCCAAAATATTTTGCTGTGGTAAATCCCATTGGACAGAACACTAAAGCACTTGTCATACATCGTCGAACTTATCTCCACAACACATAATCAATTCGTTCATAATCTGGCTTCGTTCAGAATGAGAGGACAGCCGTTGTTGATGTTTCTCCACTAACTACCAGGAGAGTGATGTACATGTATTGGGTTAATAAGTGCACCTGTCTGAATCCAGTCGATCGTTTGAAATTATCCCTGCATTGTAGTTTCACACGATTGCAATTATGTGCAGTGTTGTCAGTAATACCCCGCTGCAGTGAGCTAGAATATTTCTAGTCGCCTCTTTATTAAGAGTCTGTTCATTAAAAAAGATGCAATCCAGCACCACCCAAATGGGAAAAACTATAGACAACTGTGTGATGGGGTGTGCAAGTTATGTTCTTCAGGTCATATCTGAATACAAGTTACAAGGAAAGAAAGTTCTGGTAAAAATAACAAATACTGCCCCTTCACTCGGGAAAAAGATTGCAGGCGGAGGCGTCCTTGCTGGGGGTGAAACATTGGTATGTATTTTGTGTGTTCCATTTCGTGTGTGATCATGTTCGACTAACAGATCACAACTTATGATTTGAAATGCAATTTTTATCTGACTGTAATAATTTCAAACAAGACAAATTGTTTAATTGATCCGCATCTGTTCCAGCTTTAAATCAACTCATCAAAGACGTCCTATCCGAAATTTATCTACAGGGTATCCGAAATTTATCTATAGGACTTCCTTTCAATTATGACGCCGACTCGGGCATCGATGGGTTCCATAACCCAGGTGTTGGTACTGCTTTAGAGCCAGTCTCCACACTCAAACTGAATATATAACAAACACTTCTGCAAAGACATATAAACCATCCATCCCATTATGGTCCACATGTTCCTGTATACAATATGTTAGCAATTATACAATGATCAGATACTGGACCAAATAGCAAGAAATAGACCAACATATTTGATATGACATTCATTTTCACTTTAATGATTCTTTTTTTCCCCAACCATCAGTACTTTCAAATTAGGTTTGCACAAATCGTGAAAACAACTTCAAAGCGAGAGCGCAAGGTGAACATTATTGGTCGAGTCATATTTTAAGGATGCAGTACATAAGTTGCCTTGAACATAAACGCATGTTGATGAACACATTTATTCATAACTCAGCATATTTTTACGTAAAACTGTTGTTTGAAATCGTGCACACAAGTGCGATCAGACTTTAGCACACCAGTGTACATCGTATGAAGATGGGGATGAGTTTGGAGGAGGGGAAGGGCAGATGACAGAGTGGGGGGGGGATATCTCCCACAGAGAATGACCCTTTAATTGATATAAAATATCATGTTTAACAAAGCTATATAGTACAAACTGGAGAATATCAAATCCGAAGTATTCTTTGTATTTGTTGTTGCATCTGGTACTCCGATTAATTTGGAACTGCATTTAGACTGGGCCCGTTTATATTTCTTATTAATTTATTTTAGGGGTAGTTCACTGATTATTTTAAGGCCACTTGCTATGCTTTAGCCAGAATAATAACGGTTGCTAGCCATTTTCCATTAACCTGTGTGATACTACCTAGTCGCAGCCAATTGTTTCAGACGTGGCTTGGCTGGCAATGTAGCATAACCCAAGACTTCACTTTTAACTAGTACTCACGCTAAAAATAAGAAAGCACAATTTTTACATTAAGTGACGATAATTTAATTATAGCATACATGTACATGTCCGACATCACAACGGGCCTGAACTTGTGATATATGACTCGTTCATTGTGGAAAAAAATTAGAATAGTTTTTCTTTTCTGAATGAATTTAACACCCATCTTAACAGTGATTTCCCACCCGTTAGTTAACACTTAAAAGGTCACGAATTGGCTAAATCTAAATCAGAATGTAACCTTATTTACACGTTGGTTGCCAATATACACTCATCCTAAACAAAAATACACTCTGTAAATTATTCAATAGGAATTTTCATTACAACGAATAAAAACTAAATTCACGTGAATTTACACACAAAAACCATTGTCCATCTAACACTGTGCAGTGACCTATCGAGTGACTGGTCACAGACAATGACCAAGTGAAACATTCTCTGCGAGGTAGAAAAGAATACTGTGTTGAGGCTCAGCGATCCAATATTTGATCCAATCCCGCGCAAACCCTTTTGTCGGTTTTGATGGCAGAGACTGCGCCGAAGGAATCACAAATCACCAGTTGTTCACGCCTACGTACGTGTACACTAAACCTAGAACCTTTGTGGGCTAACCAGTTTTGTTGGGTGGTACAATGGACTCCAGGCCTACATATAAGGCTAGTTTGATGAGTACCTTGAATGGAGGAATGTATTCATATTTATGAATACTCGGACACGATCAGCATACACCTTTTCCCATGCACACGAAGTACCATTCCAATTACTATCATTTTTCAGATTAAGTGCTTAAGATAAGTGCCTATCATACTCTGCATTTATTTCAGCGCAACTGGTGGAATCCCACAAGGACTTGGCAACAGCTCTGATGTACAGTAAACGTTTGGGTTTCAATACAGAGTAATAAACATTTGGAGAATCTGCAAAATACTGCCATTGTACTTGTGAGACCCCTTTACAATGTAGGTGTGTGGCTCGAGGTGCCTAACACCTGTGAGGGTAGGCGTTCAATACATTGAGGGGCTCACTTTCTTTTGTAGGGAAGGTGCCCACAACATTCCATGTTTCAACATGTGTGTCGTCCCCATGAACAAGTCTGATACCTTTACAGGTGTTTGGTTTATGAGGCCGTTTGGTACAGTGTAAAGGGCACATGACGATGTGCCACACCTGCTTATGGAGTGTGTGGCCTATAACATACTTTGTTTAACCTCCGACAATTAAAAAATGGTCAACTTTGTTAGAGCACTCTCACAGTATAGAATGCCACAGGAGCAGTAACAAACACGTGGGCGTCTCACCCTACATTATGTGGACTTCTTTTGTTCAGACGTCCACACTAGTCACAGTATGTAAGGCTAGCAAACATACATATTCACACTATGCCCCCCCCACAAAAAACAGAACGAAAACAAAATACAAACCATTCTAATTTACCCTACTTGCCAAAAAACAAAGCAAAACAAAAAACACCAAAAAGTGCATGTGCTTTATGCAAATTAATCGCTGTTTCTTGTCATTTGGCCTCAGAGAAAGATACTGCTCCTTCAGAGAGTTCTCACAAAGTTGGGCTGCCCAAGTCGTTAGGCCGTTTTGGAGCAGTCAATAACTTCTCCTATGAGGGGAAGAAAATACAAACCAAAAACAAACAAACAAACACCCCAACAAACAAACAAACAAACAAACAAACAAACAAACAAACAAACAAACAAACAAACAAACACCCCAACAAACAAACAAACAAACAACCCCCCCCCAAGAATTATAAGCACCCAGCACTGATGCACTTTTGGTTAACACCAGCTGAAAATCTGTGATTTGGGGGGGGGGCTTAAGTGGATGTACCCCAAAGATTACAAACATGACAGAACGATCTGAAGATATACAGCTTAGCATACCCCGGCAGTGTAGCTATAGACACACCAACAAAGATGCACCTGTTATTCCCATGGAAACCCTATTAATTTCGTGATAAATTCTTCAAATTAAACGTACATAAATACTATTTTTTACAATTTGAATCAATCCAAAATAATGGTTTACACTGACCTGTTTCCAAGTCTAATACATTTGATGTTTTCAACTGCTTCTAAAAGCATTTATTCACACTAAACTCTGATGTTAGTTTTGTACAAGTACACGTATATGTCATCACTAGATTAAGTAATCAAGACTTATTGCATCAAATCACTGAAATATGTCATTTTTGTGCATCTGAAGAGTAGAAAAAAAATCACACCATGAGCACTGGATAAATATACTGGTATTTACAAGCTTACCGAGTTTGTTTCAATGTTGCACCAAGTTTTTCACTTCTGAAAACTATAATGGCACTGACACACAGGCCAGTTACTGGTACCTGTACATAGAATTGTGAAGCACCAACTTTTGCGCTGCCCGGAAAAAGTTGGTTCCCTGGACAAATATGAGTACGTGCACTTCTGCTACTCAATTCTCTGCTTCATTTCTTGTAACAGAGGCTGCATTCCGATCTTTGCTCCATTGGAAATACGGGGAGATCCATTGACAATAGACAGTCATAGCACTGGAAGCCCGTTTTGGGCACAGCCAAAGTAAGAAATGCTCCACAACTCTATAAAACTGGCCTCTATTATTCATATCCCTGACACAACACATACTGCTCACCTGATAATTTGTAAACACAAAAGGATGCCAAGGATTTCTGCTACTCACACCACACTCAACAAAAGCCAGCCAATATTTACATATCACAAACTCAATGCACTTGTCAGTGTTGTAGTCAAGACCATCACAAGAATTAAGACTGGCGCCTTGCGATGGTCTTGAGAGGTCTGAAATACAACACTGCTTGTAGTCTAGGTGCGCACTTTCATGCATACTTGGGCCTTCTCCCTGTACTTTCTGCTGAAACGTTTTGCTGCCTTGAGCTGAGTCCCTCCACCTCAAAGAATCTTCATTTTTCTGCCGCACCATCATCAACAGCACAAGCCCCAAAGCGTGGAATGTCTTCATTCACCCTAAGTTCAAGTGCAGTGCACCATCGCTGGCAAAAATGACACAATCTGATGGGAAGTTTTTCAATGGGGCTCATGCATGCACCCCTCACACCTGCCAGAAGTTGGGTACATAAGCTGAGCGTGTCCCACATCAAAAGCGCATAAACCTGCGCACATGCTGTAAGTTCCAGCTTAAAGACCTCCATTGCTTTGTGGAAACACGCCTGCTCTTGTTCCTGCTCTGCATGGATAAAGATCTGAAAATAGCTGGAGCATGCTTGGGACCTGCACCAATGGCATGGACCCTGTGGTGACTACGGAGGATACCAGCGGGCACTTAGATTTCAGAGACTAGTCTAGAAGTGGGGGAATTGCCGGGCTCATTCTACCAATGAGAGATACTCTCTCAATGCCTTTACTAACCCTCAGGGCTATTAACTGTTAGTGCTAATTGTACCAGCTTTAGTGATGTCTGACTTCGTTTGTATGATCAGATCCCATTTTGATAAAACAAGAGAGAAAATAATGAGGGCACATTGGTAGAATTGGAAAACAGCAGAACAGTAAACCGTGAGGTCATGAGCTCAAGTCTTAACCTCCGAGTGTATTCAGTATAACTGATATTACTCAGGTGCATGAAATTTACACTGTCAGAATTTTAATTTCAAATATTTCTATTCACTATCAACCCTATCAAAATATCACCCAGCATATTGCATTAGTAAGTACAAGGTGCCAACCTAATTTCCACAGGAGCCTTGTTGTTCATTTAAGGATATACCTGTACATGTGGCTTTGGCTATTCAGAGCAATAAATGAAAATGTGAGACCCAACTGAGTCAACTTGAGTTCTCAGGGCCAAAAAATTAGGCTAGCTAAATACCGTAACTGCTCATCTGGATAAATTAGATGTAGAAACTAGCAAAGAACGTGAAGTACTGTAATGCTACACATTACCAAGAAAATTTCCTGGACATCGTCCGGAGTAAGAATGGCTTGAGAAGGATCGATCTCATTCCATGTCGTGTACTCTTCCTTCTTCAGCAGCTGTGAGCAATGCTTCTGTCTCCGCGTGACTGTTAAATGTTGTTTCGTCTTGCACGTGGTTCGGTGAAGACTCGTTCAAGCTGTTTCGCCCATTTCTCTTCTGGGTGATGGAGGATAAGTCCTTGAAGCTTATGGTGACGTCCTTGAAGGCGTGTAGCAGGAATATTCCACACACAATGGTAGTGAAACCAGCTAAGGTGCCGAGTACCGCCCCCGCATCCATGGTCATCCATTCCTGAAAGAGGATGGCTGAGGCGACTATGACACTCGTCGTGAAGAACACGTAATAGATGGGTGTCACCACAGACGTGTTGAACACGTCCAGAGCACGGTTTAAGTAATTCATCTGGATGGAGATAAACGTTACTAAACAAAAGATGAACAGCCAAGTCAGCGGGTTTGTCAATGCCTTTTCCGCACTGATGAAGAACTCCTTAAAGGCTATGCCCAGGCCCTTGGCTGCCATGACTGACAGGGAACCGATGACAGAGCAAATGGTAATGTAGATGAGAATGTTCTTCTGGCCATAACGTGGAGCATAGTAGAAGATCATTATACCAGCAACCACAAACACTAAACAAATGTAGGTGATGAATGCTGTAGGAAAAAAAATGATATTGCAAAGATGAAATAAACATAACATTAAATACATTAATTGTGAAATAAAGAATAATCTTGGAAAGTTGTGTTTATGATTTGTGCGACCTTTGACCCTTGGACTATACATATTAGTTGATTCCCGGCAACACCCACTTGGACTACACGCCTATGAACTACAGATGTCACGGGGCAGGAATTGAAGGTAAGCAAATAACACTGGATATACCAGTCAGGTACGGATGGCCAAGAAGGCACAACTTATATTCAAACATGCAACTGGCATTTCAGACACAAGAGACATTAAACTGCAAAAAATTTGGGGCATTTCATCTGCAAATAGCATACATGGGAGGTAAAGAAGGAAAAATAACATGTCCATGAACTGGGGGATCACAATGTTTAATAAGATGCTGCTATTCACATAAAAATCACAAGGAAATTCAAAGGTTGAGTTTGCTCCCGTGAGTAAACCAACAGCAGAAATCCTCATGCACGTGAAAGAGTAAGCACGTCTAAGCTGAAATACTTCTGAGGTTGGGTCCATTATTCTACTGTATGTATAGTAGTGGGCACAAGCATTCCGCTATGCACTTGAAAGTTCAAGATATTGCTGATGAGAAAATACCATACCTGGGTCTTTGAGTCTCTCTCCTAGCTCCGTCAGATTGTTTGCCGCATCCTCTTGGGGAGCATGGATGACCATGACGGTGGATCCCATGATGCACAGCAAACAGCCTACCTTACCCAAGACATTCAGTGCCTCTTTGAGAAGGTACGAGGACATCATGGCACTAATGGGTCAAAGGCGGGGAAAAATAAGAGCTAGTTCCTTTCAACGTATCATGCTGTAGGATGAGTACATGTGCATACTTTTGTATATCAATGTCTCATTCAAGTCCTCGCGCCAAATTGAAAACTACATGTAGGTACAGAGACCACTGATAGAGTGAAGTCCCTTGGAAGTTGCATCACAAAACCCTGCACGAGACTAGTCACAAATAACCTGGTGAACAAAGACCAAGGAATGCTTTTGTCACTGTTTGTTTAAATTGCTGGGGGGAGGTTTGGCTTAAGACTGTAGGACTTAAACTTGCAATTGATTTGCAGGGACTTCTGATGGACTGGACAACCACCCTGGTAGGAAAACACAGAAATGGTTTAACCAGTAGGGTGTAAAACTTCAACAATGCTTACGCAACGAGCACGCTCAGAGCTCCAAGGGGAGTGACCAGTGTTGCTGGGGCGAATGCATAGGCCACAAAGTTGCAAAGCTCTCCAATGCTCACTAAAATTGGAAGTCAATAAAAAGTAATGGGTACAAGGAAATGTAATTACTGAAGCTATCCACGGTATTGATGGGGAAATTTCCTCAAAACAAAAAAGCACATTAACAAAAAACGGTTGCTCAGTTTTATCTATAGGTCACCCTGATGTTAATCCATACTATTTCCAACAATACAGTGTCACTCAGGAGCTTCAATTTGATGTTATGAGACAAGTTCGGAGTTCAGATTTACAGATTACCAACAACCACTCACGTAAGAAAAATCCAGCCCACCAGAGCCACTCTTTGAGGTAAGCTAGGCCACCATCACCTAGGCAACAAAAAAAGAAAATGAAAATTAGGCCAATGATACCCAGCTGTGTATGTACTGAACCACTTCGCATCGGTGGCAGTTATCGATGTTGATGATGCTGGGGTGGGATAATTATCATTATTTTCTGTTTTCAAAATTCTTTAAAAGTTCTTATCTTCATTTACTGGACACTTACACCCACACGACGGACTGTCTGGTTTTTACTCTAATCTGACAGACAACATCTATTGATGCAGGAGTATTTCAGCCAGGCCTGCCGCATTGTAAAAAGAGCCCAGATTGTGCGGTGTTACGTAATTTTGTTTTGTTCACGAAACTGGTACAGTGCGCTGCTAACCTCTTTTCAATAGGGGCCAGATTAGTGTGCAGTGGTACTGTGTGGCTCACCGCTACAGTGGTGGAGCGCTTTTGTCCCCGGTGGTAATCCGCTCGCGCTAAATCCCCCAAACCATGGTATACTGTTTCAAAACAAGGCTGGATTATCTCCACTATGGAGAGTGAAAAAATGTTGGTAATGCCCAGCAGCTCAGTCTTTTGTTCCGAGTACAGTCTTTTGTTACAAGGCCTAGTTCCCTTTGTCTGATTTTGGAGACCCCGGCCACACGAATAAAGAATACGTGTCCGGTACCACAAACCCCTGCGGAAAGTGGTTAATGTGCACAGTGCAGACTGTTCACTGTGTTTCTTCTGGGCTTCTCAACCTAACAGGCCTCGCAACTGCATGTACAGTGGACTCCTGTTATAAAGAATATTGTTATAACAAAATATTGTTATAAGGAACAAATCAATTTCTTAATTTCTTATGTTTCATAACATCATAACGTGAGTCGACTGTAATTTGTTCACCTTCTCCAAGCCAAAAGGGTTTGAGGGGATGCCCAAACACTTTTCATTTTTTAAAGATGATGAAAACTGTTGTTTTGCCACTCTTTGCTTTTTGCAAGAGAGGTCCGACTGATTTTCAAAACCTTGGTGTCGGAACATTCCAAGACATCTGCTAAAAATACCTCCCAGAGGTTGGCATGCCACGTAAGTACAAACCTCAACAACTTGGATAAGCTTCTCTTTAATTTCAAGACATGTATGTCAACATCGATTTTCAAATGCTGGCAGTAAAATACTGGGGGGGGGAGGAGGTGGGGAATGGGACATACAGTGGAATCTTTTACCTGCTCTGGTTGCGTAGGTGGATATTTTAATGAGTGCCTTCTTCTTAATGATGAAGCTGGATCCGATGAAGACGCTGGAGCTGACAGCCAGGGCCAAGCCGATGTAGAAATCCCGGGTGGAGTTAGGGTCAGTCGGAGGTGTCATGGTGATATCTCTGCAGTTGGTAGCGTTGTCCCAAGTGGTTGGTTGGAAGCTGGTGGTGGGGTCAGGTTCCGTTGAGTTTTCAATCCACATTGACTGATTTTCAAAAGAGTCTATCAGGATTCAGGAATGGAAATGAAATGTGAGCAAAAGCAGATCTCGACTCATTTCAATCAATTTAGAATGAGCTCCTTCAATTTCCGACCTGTACTGGCATATGATAATGACACCACAGACCGTGCTACTGACTACATGTCCATGTACAAGACCAAATTGTTACATGTACCAGTACATGTAAACTGTTCCCCTGTATTGTAGATTAGCTACTCCAATACTGTACATGGACATTGTATATGTAGCTATGCGTTATAAATACCACTGTATTACTCTGCGGATTGTAAAACTGCATTGGACCAGACGTACTCCAGTGACACTTCAGAAAGTCACGTACAAATTTCCTAACTCCATAAACAACCAGTATCAAAGAACCATACTAGGTACATGTACATGTACTTGTACATTCATCCAGACTAGATGTGCACATGGGTGAACTTACTTGTGTATTTGTACATGTACACATGCAGTGCATGTACCGGTACATGACGTTTATATTGCTCAAGACTTCCAGCTTCGACAGTTATTTTCACCACTTTGCCAAAGAGATTTGAGTACATGTACATATAAATGTATGTTTAATACCACAGGGTTTGTACACATCACAGCGATAAATGTGCTTCAACACTGACAGGGTAAACCACGGAATTGGAATGCGCGCTGCACGTCAAAATGACAAAACCTGGGCATTAGTAAAATGACACCTTTAAATCACCGTACTTTCCACATTTCTTCCCTCAATCTTGCAATGTCACCCCCCCCCAAAATACATTTACCTTTGTGCAAACACGCTTACAGCTTGCATCTGAAAGAGAGTTATATGTAAATCAGGGACGGAGCGATTGGTACCTGTATAAACTGCCTGTACATGTAACAGTCGACATGACTTTGCGCAGCATGCAATTACAATACCAGCATAAAGAGCCTATCATGGACTCCACAGATTAATACAAATAATAGGCTCTTACTATGCAGGTTTACTGAAATGCACATAAGCAGCCCTTAGTATGCACATGAGCAGGGAAATACAGCAATGATGGCACAAGTACACTGTACCACTGTACATGTACATTTGTTCATGCTTGTATAGTGCACATGCCAATTGTTTTGTTATCAAACAAAATGACTTTGGCTGCATGAAGCCGAAGGCCAAGCATCTGCATTGTACATGTATATCTGACTGATGGTCTCACATCAGTGGGCGCTTTTTCCAGACAACATTACAAAAATCAATCTCTGGGGTCTTTGTACACATGAATACAATGGGGGGCCGACTGAAAAGTGCTGCAAGTGTGCATGGGTACGGTAGGCCCTCAGTGTGTTTTGTGGGAAAGTTGTCTCAAATGAGGATCAGGCAATCAGGACCAACATGTAACTTGGGAGACATTTCACAATATTTTTGGTCCCCACAAAATCGGTGTATTGATGAATATACATGTACATGTACCAGTTTTACGGAACACGTACACGTACATGTATGTGTACATTGTACCTGTGCACATGTGGGTGTTCATGTACATGTACATGTAGCCTATACATGTAAATAGCCTATGTATGCACAGTACCAATACATGTACATGCACTTATGGAACTTTACAGGTGTTTTTTCCTTTGTTAAAAGCAATTCTTTATCCTGGAACTCATTCTAGAGGTCTTTTCCTGAGGCAACTATGTGCAAAGACTACTAGCAGGGATATACATGTACTCTTTTCAATATTCCCGGGAGGACGGATGACAAACAATCCCAGCCAATGCCTACATGCACACACCTCAATAAAATGCATTGTTATAAGGTGATGATGCTGCTGCCACTGGAAAGGTTTTCACTTTTCACCCCCATCTTCTCCCTCTTTCAATTTCTAATCTGTTCATTTTGCTTGCCAGAAAGAGATGATGAGTACCGGTATTTTGGGCACCTGCTAGATGGAGCACGCACAACCATTTCCTGTACGATTGTTGCATGCATGCCGGTCAGCCAGTTGAAAGTGCCCCCTTGACCCCTCTGCACGGTTGGCAATTTTTTTTTCCTCAATTTAAAAAAAAAAAAATCATATTTTTGATATTTAAATCAGATTTTAAAAATTTCAATTGGATTTATTTGATTTTTTATAAAAATTGGAGACAAGTTGGCTCAATTATCTATTCAAAAGCAAGCAAAATAGCTGCATGTGTATTGATTGTCTTTTAACTCTTTTTACTACAAAGTTAACCCAATTTAATTAAGCAATTTCAATCAAGTCATGGATTAAATTCACAAACCACCTTCAACATTGTCTAAGCCCAGGTGTAACGCATGCAGTATAGCACCTACTGTTACATGTATCTGCAGAGAAGACATTTCCTTCAGAGATTGGTTCATCTACCATTGATAAAGTGCGTACCGGGTTTCAAAATAAGAGTGCGCAGGAATTTAACAGGGTTTACATGTACGCATCGAATAAATAATGAGTAAAAAACATGCCATCAACCTCATGTACCGGCACATGTTTGTATATTACATGGTCAATGTAGGTACATGTACAAAATGCTAGGGATAAAATGTTGATGTGCACTGATTTTCTACCATGTCAAACTCTGAAGTACCGGTAGGCAATTTAAGTGATGTAAAATTAAGTCATTATTATAAATACTTCGCATCAAATTCATTCACTGAATCTAAAAAGCTGATTGAAATTGAAACAAGTGGATTGAGTTGAACAAACAATTCTACCAACTCAGATTGTGTGTAAAACGTGTACATTCATACTTCTTATGGACACTAGCTGACTAGGAACTGAAAGGCTCCCAGGGAGAGCATTTGCATTTGAAAAACCTGCAAACAAGATGCCTACATGTACATGTACACAGCATTAATCCATTGTGGAGGTGTACATTGTACTGGTACACTGCATGTACAATGAACATGTATATACATGTACATGTATGTTCAACAGGAAACGAAATTCAAAAGAGAAACTGACATGACTGAAGACCTGTTTGAATCAGGCCAAGGGTTACTGAAAAAAAAAGGGAATTAACTTGTACATGTACGTACCGGAATGTACATGCACATGTATTATTCCATGATAACAAATAAATAGCTTAAATTTCATGTGAGAGTAGCACAGAGATGAAGAGAATGGTTTCCATGAGGTTTCTTCCTGTACTCTTTTCAAAGTTCTTGATTTCAAGATAAAGTACATTAATGACCTAAAGACATGAAAGATGCCATTATACAGACATTACATCTTCTACTATGTATAACTGTTCATTTCCCAGATTTTTCACTGTGAGACTGTTCAAGGTAAAAAGCATTAGGGTTTTTGCTTTAATGGTTCTCCATCCATGCCAGACTGTGTCCAGTTTCTACACTGAAGCTCATCAACTGACTTGAGACAGACAAATGGTTTACCTTGATTTGAAATTGAATCCCTTTTCATTTAAATTGCAAAATCTTGCCTCTGACATGGTCTCCTTTGAAAAAAAAATGTAACCTGGCCACAAAAGAAAAAAAACTTGTGCCCGTCGGACTGATCTAGACTGGTCATGTCTCACAGCAACCCAAAACATGTAAGCCTCGCGAGTGAGGTCTGTTGTCACATACGTCGTGTGACGTCAAGTCTCCATTCAGTCTGGCTGGCAGCTTTGCGTATGTATACGCATGTGCACACTCATGCTGACAGGAATGTGAAACATGAAGGACAGATTAATACACCAAAACATGCAGGGCTATGTCTGAAAAAGAAAAAAAAATATGAGAATCAGTTGGTTTTCGGGTTGGGATGGCTGAGCTGATTTACATGAACATGTAGTGTTACATGTAGTAAGAGGGATAAGCAACGTGTACGCTAGCCAATTGAGTACACATAAAAATGAACCCCGCAGGAATAAGAACATCCTCCATGCATGTACATGTTACATGTACCTGTACTAGTATGTGGAGGTCTTTGTACATGTACGTATTAATCAAATGAGGAAAGTGAGACGACACTGTACTTCAGCATTTCCCAAGCCTCTTTTTCTTTGTCAAAACTTTGAAACAGGCATAGCATGCAGCCAAATTTTTGCCAGTCATTGAGTGATTTGGCATGGAGGCTAGCACTGGCTAGCACCAGCTGATGTACATGTACATAAAGGTAAAGTACGATGGGCGTACACAGTACAAGTCTGCGAACGTACATGTAGGTGTGTACATGGACACTGGGCTCCGGCATCTTATTGGCAAACACGCTGCCATGCTCGATCATACTCACGTTAACTGTGGTGGATGCAGACTTCGCTAGCAAAAAGACTGATTAGTTGCTCAAAGACACTGGGCCCGATTCACGTGGTACGCAGTCTTTGAGTACATCATGAACACAATCAACATGTACCAGTACATGTGCCTCCAAGATGCGGTATGACAAACAACATGAGGTATAATAAAGTGCTTGCACACCTGTAGCATAGACATGTATCCGTACGTTACATGTACATGTATGTACCTACATGTACCATATGCCTGCAAGTGAACTATGCCCAACCCATCCGCCTAGTTGGTACAAAAATAGGATAAAGGCCTCCTTACCTTGGACCACCGTGCTGCACATGTACATGTACTTGGACGAGTACAGTACCACAAGACCAGGTCAAAGTCTACACGTACTTAGTGCTACAGTGTACATGTAGTAGCTGGCTATTATTTATTTTGACTCATTGGGGCACGCTTGCAAATGAAGTGTACACATGCACGGTGTGTAGCGGTCAAATTCATCAATTTGTCTGTTTTTCATAAGCCAAGAGCCTTTGCAAAGGACGTCAGAACACTTTGCAGCGATAGTTAGCATTTTTCATGGTGTTAACGAGGATATTTTCATTCAACAATTGCATATTAAATTAAGAATTTCCACTTGTACGTGTACGTGTGCACTTGTTTGGCATGGAAGTTCTTTGCAAATGGAGATGTTGAACTCTGTGGTCTGAGTAAATTGAATATTTATAAGGTGATGCAATTTTGCCCAAATGACCAACTCATAACACT